GGCAGGCGCAGTGGAAGCGGCTGCCGGTGTTGATGCACGAGGTCGTGATGTCGCAGTGGTTCAGGCCCGAGATCGGGTTGCAGGTGCCGCAGGTGCCGGGTTTGGGGTTTGGGTTGGGATTGGGGTTTGGGTGCGGGTTTTTGCTACCGCCTTGACCGCCATCACCGCCGTCGCCGCCGTCTCCACCATCGCCACCGTTGCCGGAGTTGTCTCCACCATTGTTGTTGCCTCCGTTGCCTCCATCGCCGCCCGCTCCACCATCTCCACCGTTGCCGGAGTTGCCTCCACCATTATTGTTGCCTCCGTTGCCTCCTTGGCCGCCATCACCGCCGTCGCCGTCAGCTTGCTTAAGCTCTGTCGACGATCTCCCTGATCTCTTCTATATGCTCCTTAATATGAGGGCAGTTCCGCCATTTATGATTTCCTCAACAGCGCCGTTGCCACCGGCGCCGCCGTTGCCTCCATCTCCACCTTGACTGTCATCGGGACCTCCAGCACCTCCTTGACCTCCATCACCACCCGGTCCGCCTTGGCCTCCGTTGCCAGAGTTGTTTCCCCCATTGTTGTTCCCACCGTCACCTCCTTGGCCTCCAGGACCGCCATCACCGCCGGCACCTCCGCTCTGATCACCAGGGGGAGGTTGGCGGACTTCCAGCTGAGAGGGGTGATATGGTGAAGGGGCCGCGGCGGTCAGGGCTGCCAGGACGGCGGCGGTGAGGACGGCGTATTTTTTGAGTGTGGGCATGGTGATTCAGGCGTTGGATTTAAATTTTAGTTTAGTTCGATAGAGTGACAGTGCTGTTGGTATAGGAGATGATGCGAAGCGATGACCAGGAACGAGTAAAGTCACGGAAGTGAAAAAAGAGGCAATGCCGCAAAGGAACAAGCACACGTAAGGATGCACAAAGGAAGACTGACTAAGGTTGGATGTAAAGAACAGAGCAGGAGAGAAGAGGGAAATGCACCACTGTTATGTACTTGGAGTGTCTGGTCTACGGACTGCTCTGCATTTCTATAAGCGGTGACAAGAGTCACCGGGAGCAGCAGGAATTAGGCAATGGGAGTAGAATAGAAACAAGGCCTCATGTACGCCTGAACAGTCTTGCCCAATGTCCCAAATCTGGGCCACGGCTCTCCATCTGAGTGGGTCATGCATTTGGTCAGGCCAAGCCTGTCTCGGGCAGTGTTCCGAGCCTGGGCAAAAAGAAACGAGGGACAGAAGTAGAAACGGGGAATGGAGAATTCCCGTTTGATGGTGCTCGTATGACTCTTCCAGAGCAGGTAGTGTGCATCTTGACGCTCACGAGGGTTGGGAGCCTGGAAGGGGACAAGGTGGAGGCTGAGAGGGAGGAGGCTTGCCAAGAGTGTGGAGGGAGCCAGGCCCGTTTGGGGAGAGTTGCTATTTCGGGACTGCCACGAGATGTGAACATGGTCCAATCAGAGATCAGCAAGTACTGCATGCTCAGTCTACACGTTTGTGCAGCCATGGCGTTGCAAGCACACGATTCATCCTCGTCTCATCAAACTTGCTCACTCCATCGAGTGAGACCATCACAGCTTGAGTCATTATTGCCACATGTGCCTTGGGTGGTAGATGCTGTTATACTGGGTATTCTAATGATGATTTTTTGCTGCGATAATTCTGGCGACTGGCGGGGCTGACCAGTACGCCTTCCAGGCGCCAGTAATGCGAATTTAGCCAAACACGTGGAAGGCCTACATATTCATCTCATCGTCAGTGTCTCCGGCCTCGATGAACACGAGCCGCGTCCCGTTCGCAGCTCTCTGCCAGATCTAAATAGAGAAGATGTCAGCAAGCGCACTGGGAAGGAATCCATCTCTGATTGGCTGTTACTCACGTCGAGCAATTCATACTCCCCAATTACTTGCTCTAGCTGATCCTGAGTGAAGCCTTTGGCGATCACTCTTTCGCTGATTTTTCGAATGCTCAGCTCTCCGCGACTTCCATCACCAACAGCAGCAGCACCACTGTCTCTCATACCCCGAATGAGGTTGTAAATCTTGGTGCTATTGCTTTGGTCGCCTTGGCTCCTTGAATCGTTGTAAAGACTGGCTTTGCTGACTTCTACAAGTCTGAGTGCCTCGTCAACATCTTCCGTGACCACTTGATCACTGAATCTCAACCTTGCCAGGGCTTGTGATAATCGAAGTATTCCAAGCAGAGTCCTGGGCGAAGTATGGGTAAAATGTCTCTTGCTACCCTCATCGCGCTTCTGTTGCTGTCGCATCCTCACATAAGCACCCACCATGTAATCCGAGACCGACTTGGGCACATTTGGCCGATAACTGCGAGCCTGAGCAATGTATTGCCTGACTTCGTGAGGGGTGAACACGACTCCATTGGTGTCTGCCTCGGGATGCCTATTGTGCATGTGCACGTAGGCAACGTGATTCGCCAACTGTTCATCAGTGTCACGGGATGGTGTGTCCAAGATCAAGAATAGAACATCAAAACGAGACAGCAGCGCCGCCGGAAGGTTAATGTTCTCCACAGGTGATATTCTTGGGTTATATCGTCCGTACAATGGATTGGCCGCCGCAAGAATGGACGTCCTGGCGTTCAGTGTCGTGGTGATTCCGGCTTTCGAAATCGAAATCGTCTGTTGCTCCATCACTTCGTGAATGGCTGTCCTGTCTCCATCATCCATCTTATCGAATTCGTCTATGCAGCAGATACCGTTGTCTGCTAGGACGAGAGCGCCACCTTCCAGAACCATTTCGTCCGTCACCGGATCACGCATGACTGCTGCTGTAAGACCCACGCCACTGCTCCCTCGTCCAGTGGTGTAAACTCCGCGAGGAGCAACTTTGGTGATGTATTTCAGCAACTGCGACTTGGCCACACCAGGGTCACCCATCAGACAGATATTGATGTCGCCTCGAATGCGCATTCCATCACCCATCTCCTTCGTGACGCCTCCAATGAGGAGTAGAAGAAGAGCCTTTTTCACGTCGAGATGGCCGAAGATTTCTGGTGCAATCGATCGGGACAGATATTCATACATGTGACCGGAAGCCTTGTACTGATCGATTCTGCGCAAAGTTCTCGCGTCCATCAATAGGTCTTGGTACGCCTTCTTATGCTGGGTGATATGCTGCGCCTCTAGATATGTATCTGTGAGCAGTCCTGCTCGGATGGCCCTGAACCCAGTGTACGGTGTAGGCAAGAAGATTCCAGCTACATCAACAACATCTCCAGGATTGATCTGACGTGTCAAAGCACCATGACAGTGGATCGTCAACGTTCGAGGAATATGACCCACTGGCACTTGATCTGCCATTTCCTGAATTTTGACTTCCTGAAAGGGTAGAAATTTAGATGCACGAGTCGATGGAAAAAGTTGCCCTTTGCTGTCATTTTTCTGGCACTCGGATGAGGTACAAACCTGCATGGGGGTGAATTGCTTGGTGGTGACTGGCTGGAACACTTCGCAGCCACAGCGATCGCAGGTATATGCATGGATACTGATCGCAGGCTTGACGTCTGACACGCGAGTGGTGATTCCTCGTACTGTGATGAGATGTCCCAGATGCTCGCCTTTGACATTTCGGACTGCCAACGCTTTCGCGCTACGGTCATTGCTTGAACCTGAAGGGGTTAAAGGCTTGAAATTGAGGGTATATCGGCGAGTTAGCTCGGGCGGAAATGTTGAAAGTGGCAACACTGTGTCCAAGTCTGCCTCCATTGCTTGTGACATGGTCTGATTCCGCTTCTCTCTTTGAGACATGATAACATCAAGTACGTCATCTTTGAATCTGCAATCATGTTAGTGATGATTCGGCCAGCCAGTCTACCACCTACGAGATCTCTCTGCTCTCTTTAGGCATGACCTTGTCAACAGCTTCTGCGAAAAGGTCGACATAATGTTTTGTATTATTCGTTATTGATTCAACCAATTTCAAGTTTTGCTCGTCACCTAGAGATCGTTCGTACTGTGAACAGGCCGTACATTAGCGTCGTGTTTCTGAAGGACGGGTAGAGAAGCACCCACCAAGTCGAGGTCATCCAACTCAATCAAGATGTTTGACTTGACTCGATCCGCGATGTCCTGAAGTAATGATATGTATTTTCTCTTGTCCCGGTGACCTCGGTCATTTCTGCCTGATCGCGCGGCGCCTCCATTCTCTGCGTCGTCCATAAAATCGTACTCGTCACTAGTGCCATCGCCATCAATGTGAAGCCCGTTGATGGCGTCGGCGGCAGTTTCTTCAGATGCAGACTCGGAAGACTTGAAATTCTCGAGAAATTCTCGGAAGGCTTCTTGCTGCGCTTCGTAGTCGACAGGGGCTCGATATTGTAGCAACGCCATGATCGTAAGTGCGCAAGTGGATATCAGGGTAGAGAAGAAAAGAGAGCGGCGGACTATATACCTGAGATCAAGTTATAGCGTAGTAGTGACAATCTGCGCAAATGGGTGTGCAAATGGGTGTGGATGGGATTCAGTGTCTGCTGGCGCGCAAGTCGCCCTTCAGTGGTTGGAGATCAATTCATTCAACGCGTCCAGAACGCGTCCAAATTCCGAATTTAGCGTGAGCGTGCCAGGCTAGTGGCTGCATCAGCTGCAGCCTTAAGAGCCCTAAGAGCCCTAAGAGCTCAACCTCGGCTCATTCTATAATTGCTTGCTGAGCACCCTCGTCAGACACATGACACATGACACATGAAATACCAGACTCTGTTGGTTCTACGCCTGATGGAGGAAGCTGGCGACGCCGATGGCTCAAGATGACTGAAAAGAAGTCTAGGAATCATTCATCGACCGAGAGACGCGGGACTGCGTTGGAGGCAAGACCGATGGTTGCTCACAACATACGGAGTACTTGAGAAAAGATAGAAACATGGGCCAACCACCAAGGAAGCCGTCAACAACCGCTGAAGTTGCCCTCGTGTCCCTGAAGAGTTGCCTTGTCAATCTTCCGGCATCTTTGGTCTCCGTGCTCAGTAATGCAAACACAGCGGCGCAAGATGTTGTCATCGAGTTGCAGTGCAGAACACAAACACTGTCGAGTGGCACCTCTGCCAGAGAGGATGGTGCTGGCTCTCAGAAATCAGTCTATGTTGGTTGGACTGGCATGCCTAGTCGGCGACGTCCAGCGCTAGGTATGAATAGAAATAGCTATGCAAATGGAGTAAGAGAACAAGAGATCTCGCCGATTGAGATTGATGACACGTTTGCTGGTCTGCTGGGACTTACTGAAGGACAAAGGGTCGGCATATTTCTGCACTTAGACCCACCAGTCGCACACACTGTCCACATCGAACCGCTGACTCCAGCAGATTGGGAAGTCATTGAGTTGCACGCTAGTTTCCTGGAACTCAATCTCCTCTCTCAAGTCAGAGCCCTTCCTAATCCAAGCCATTCGGCCACTGCTTCTGTCCAAGCTAGCCATTCGCATCCCCTGGCTTTACATCTCTCGCCCACATCCACCGCCAATGTGATCGTTACGTCATTGATACCACCGATTCCGAGCTCATCACCCTTTGCCAAGATAGCCTCTGACGCAGAAGTCATCGTTGCACCGAAAGGGCGGCCAAGAACTTCTCGAGCTGCCAGACAGGATGATCGAAGTGTTGCCAGCACGAGTCGTAGGAGTGCCAGGAGTGGTGGAAGTTCCCTACGAGCAAAAGCCACTACCGAAAGAGACATTTTCTTTCTTCGTGGTATCGATCGTGGCATTTGTCACGAATGGTTTTCATCCGACCACGTGGAGAACGAAAATAGAGGCCTTTGCATCTGGGTGCATGGTAAAATTCTTGCAGAAGACAACGCCTTCATGGGAAGGAAATGGGTTGTTGTATCTATCGTCAGACCTGCCGGCCTCAGAGCTCAGCTCGACCAACACCAAATGCAGCAGCTCAAAGAGCAAGAATCGAATGAAGCGGGATTACCTGCCTCCAAAGTGGTTGCCCAGGTTAGGACTTGGGCAGACGCACCAGATGAGCAGCATGCAGCACTCTCATCTACACTGTGCTCCATTCTGGGGTTCGGGAGAATGGTTGGCTGCATAACCAAGGTTGAACCAGCACCCCCACCACTTCAAAAAGCTGGGACCAGTCCAGTTAGGCTCTTCCCTTTTCTACCAGATTCGTCCTCTAAAAAGGAAGGATTGAGGTTCGGGGGAGAATCCAAACTGTCAAGGCAGGCTGTCGCAAACCGTGTCCAAGAAATCCATGGATCTGGAAATGGCCTTCTTCAGGGACCTATCTCCAATGGAATGCTGCTCCCAGCATCGGAAGAGCCATCCACTAATCTTCATTTCTCTGGTGGTATTGTGCGCTTCCAGCCTTCGAGCGGGAGGGATGGAGATAAATCTTTTGCATGGTTTTTAGGATCGGAGCAGAACTTTATGTTTGATGTACAGCCAGAAATACCGAGAACAATGAAGCCGAACGTCATGTTTCCGACCTTCGATCCGGGATTGCCAACAGAACCACCAGAATCAGTTGGCATTGACAAGATGATCCAACAATGCATAAGTAATCTTAGATTTTCCTCCTCGATACTTCTCACAGGTGGAACCGGGTCTGGCAAGACCAGTCTTGCCCACTTGCTATGCCAGAGATTGAGTGAGGAGCACCTTTTCAATACCACATATTTCTTCTGCCGCCAGCTCCTCACAGACGAGACACGAGTCTCGCAGATCAAGGATACCTTGACAAGACTGTTCATGTCAGCCTGTTGGTGCGCACGACTGGGTGGCCAATCCATCGTCGTTCTCGACGATCTCGACAAGATCTGCCCCGTCGAAACCGAACTTCAGGTAGGCAATGACAACGGACGCAGTAGGTTGATTACAGGGATCTTGTGCTCTATTGTACGATATTATTGTACCCCTGATTCGGGCATTGCGCTGCTCGCCACTGCTCAGTCAAAAGACACCTTGAATCGCCTGATCATCAGCGGTCACATTGTGGGCGATATCATTTCTCTTAAAGCACCAGACAAAGAGGCTCGTCGAAAAATCCTTGTCAAACTGACCAGTCCAAAGTCAACGGGTCTGGAGAAGACTTTGAATGGCCATGTCCGAAACAGCAGTAACAACTCCAACCACATTGAGGAAAACTCGTGGATGGACCCTCGCCCCAACAAACCTACCGCCTCCGCCCCCTCAACCGACACCATCAACCTGTCCCCTTCACTCGACCTCCTCGACCTCGCTGGCCGCACAGACGGCTTCATGCCAGGCGACCTCTCCCTCCTCGTCTCCCGCGCTCGCACCGAATGCCTAACTCGTCTCATCACCTCCCCCACATTCTCGGATGCCACCACTGCAAATCCTCAAAACAACAACCAACTCACCCTAACCAAGAGTGACTTCACCACCGCCCTCCAAAACTTCACCCCCTCCTCCCTTCGCAACGTCCCCCTGACCCACTCCACCACAACCTTCTCCTCCATTGGCGGCCTCCACAGCACACGAACCACCCTTCTCGAAACCCTCTTCTACCCCACCAAATATGCCCCTATCTTCGCCAACTCGCCCCTCCGCCTCCGTTCAGGCTTACTCCTATACGGCTACCCAGGATGTGGTAAGACCCTACTCGCTAGCGCAGTAGCTGGCGAATGCGGCCTCAACTTCATCTCGGTCAAGGGACCCGAGATATTGAATAAATACATCGGCGCCTCTGAGAAGAGCGTGCGCGACCTCTTTGAAAGAGCCCAAGCCGCGAAACCTTGTGTGCTGTTCTTCGACGAATTCGACTCCGTCGCCCCCAAGCGCGGGCACGATTCAACAGGCGTCACGGATCGCGTGGTCAACCAGCTGCTGACTCAGATGGACGGTGCAGAGGGGTTAGAGGGTGTCTATGTCCTGGCGGCGACGTCGAGACCGGATCTCATTGACCCTGCATTGCTGAGGCCGGGAAGGCTGGATAAGAGCCTGCTTTGTGACATGCCGGATCGAGAGGATCGGTTGGACATCCTCAGCGCGGTCAGCAAGAAGTTAGTCTTGAAAGATGAAGTAGGGGACAGGTTGGGCGAGATTGCGGATCGGACAACTGGGTACAGTGGAGCGGATCTGCAGGCATTGATGTATAACGCGCATTTAGAGGCCGTGCATCAGTTAATCGGCGATACTGCTCCACCTTCCGCTGTTGGCAAGAGCAATACCGAGAACGGCATCACGAAAAAATCCTCTCGTGGCACAAATTCTTCGAGAAACAAAAAGGCTGGCAAGAAATTTGAATTCTACCAATTCCTCTACGACCCAACACTCGACGCCGAAGCCCGCGCTTCACCCCATTCCACCAGCTCTGCCCTCGAGCCGCACGAGGTGGTCGAAGAAAAACTCGCCGCTATGAGGCTGGCTAAGAAGACGGAACGACGCCGACTGCGCCTCGCCTCCTCTTCTTGGTACCACATGGATGACGATGACGTCGACAGCCACGTCAACGGCATCGGCAGGAAAAAGAACGGCGAGGCGGATGTGAAGCAGGAAGTTGTCATCACCTGGGCGAATATCGAGCGCGCTCTGGCGACGACGCGGTGTTCGATCAGTGAGCAGGAACGAATGAGGTTGGGCGCTATCTATCACGAGTTCGTGGTGGGCAGGAACGGGGAGATGCCCAGCGGAGACGGGGGAAGGGAGGTTGGGGGTCGGAGTAGCCTGATGTGAGAATCTGATCAGTGATTCATGCATAGATGGAGGGGTGGGAATTCCATTGCGCACAATCCATCATATCTCTATCCTTTTAACCATTATATCCCCTTGTCTGCAATGCAACCACAAAAGCCCTCCTGCCCAGCCGTCCTAGCTGGAAGTTACGAAATTCGTACCTAGTACATGTAGATATTTCCAAGCATCAAAAACACATTCGACATGACCTCAGAGGCGGACCTAACCTATCAAATCATCTCACGCAGCGCCTTGTGATAGGATCGAATCATCCTTCCAGCCCCCGAGGATGGTAGCCAGCAGCGACACAGTTGGTCGTTAGCGAGCTTAATTGGCAATTTGACGGGTCCATTCCCCAAAACATCCAGGCGCCTTTGGGTAAAATATTTGCGCACGCTCACTCCTGATTTGGATCTTGCTGCAGTCTGGGAAGGCCGGTTCTGTAAGGCCGTCGAAGATCTCCTCGCTTGGGGTGATGGACTTCCCATGCAAGAAAGCTCCAAGCCTTCTTTTTTTGAGTGAACTAAATAATGGTGGGCAGCTGAAGCCCTTGACTCGGCTCCATTAGGTTTTTGCTTGCTTGAGGATATTGAAAAACATCTTTGTGCTAGTACTGTAAGAAGTCTGTTGGGGGTTCGTGCCGTGGCAGTGCCTGCCAACTCGCAGTCATGGAAAAGCGCCTGTGAGAAGTTCCTTTCCCCCGGTCTGCTAAATAACCGCAGAACGAATTGAGTGAGGGCGCTGTAAAGCCGTCTTTGATCACAGTTCATAATGAAGCAGCACCCCCGATGTAGTAGCAGATTTTGTCTTTCCTCAATTCAAACAGGTAGAGGTGCCAAAGGGTTGAGCGCCTTAAAAGGTAATGCTAAAGGCACTCGAGATTCTCTTCAATTCCTTACTCCTGCAAAAAACACAAGATGGCTAGAAGAGGCTGCACGGGAGCAAAGGCATGGTGCATGACATTATTAATAAGGCTGAACGAAGCATTTACTTCTCGTGTTGTGCTTTGCACCAAGGACCTTTCCGTGGCGCAACTTGCATTGCAGCACATACCAGTAGCTTCTCAGATATTGTTACGAGTTTCTCCGGCCAATCTCTTGTGTCAGCGGGTTATGGCTTGGGGTTATCAGCATCGTCGTTGATTTGGGGAGGCTGGGCATACCTCCACCCGAAAAGGAGGCAATTTCCAAAAGAGGTAAAGTACTCCATGTGCCAAGGCGACTGTGCGTTGACATGAGGAACAGAGATACCCTGTTACTAGTAGTAACAGCACACAAATATGGATATCATTTACGGGAAGTCGATGAACGATATTTTCTGACATTCGCACTCTAACGATTTAGTACGGTTCGTATCGAACTTCGAAAGCAGACCAAAGACAAAACCATCATCACTCAAGAATTGATTTGACCTTCTTCCACCACGTATCAAGCACCGGTGGCGGGCGCTCTGCTTCCTCCACCTCGTCCATGCCCGTAAGAAGATCGACCTCGGATGGTGACCAAGCCCATTTGTCATACCTAAAGACAATTCGGTGTCCAAAGTATAGTAGCGCGAAAATGATGATGCTAATATAAGCCGTAAAGAAATCTGCAACGTCCCAATTCTGTGGGAAGAACGTGGCGAAGCCGTTGATAAGGAGGAGGAACGAGAACCAGCCAAGCACCCACCATGCTCCCCATGGCTGCACGAATGAGGAGTAGGGAACAGTCTTACCCTGAGTTTTGATTGCCTTGCGAAAACGTAGAAAGACGATGGCGCAACAGATCCAGCTTATAAATCCTGCAGTATTGACCAAGTTGACGAACCAGTTGAACACCTTGCTGCCGGAGCTGGCAACATTGAGGTAAGCGAGGACCGTGAATACTGACGATACGCCAACTGCATAGTATGGAACACCCCTTTTTGAGCAAGTCTTGAAGACCTTTGGTGCTGAGCCTGACACGGCCAGAGAGTAAAGCGACCGGGAAGATATGTAGAGGAAACTGTTGCCCGAACTCCACGCAGACAGAATAATGACGGCATTGACGATACTATCCAAAACCGGAATGCCAGCGTTCTTGATACCGATGACGAAAGGCGAGGAGCCAGCACCCTGGCCACCATTTGTCAGAGCCGGGTCATTGGACCGACAGGTGACGCCAATCACGAGAACGCCAAAGACGTAGAAGAAGACCAAGCGGTAGAAGTAGCGCTTTGATGCTTTCGGGAGGTTTCGTCTTGGGCTTTCCATTTCGCCTCCAGTCACAATAAGCAACTCCGGTGCGAAAACAAACGGAAAGACTGACAAAATCATTGTTTGCCAGAAGGATATAAAATAGCCTGTGCTGCCTTCGAGTATAAAAGTATTGGCTGCCCCTGGATTTACCCAATAAGCAAAACCGAGGATGCCGTCCTGTTCAGGACCTCCTCCCCAAAAGAGGATGAAGCCCAAAAATAGCAATCCTACCAGTAAGACAACTTTTGTTCCTGCAAACCAGAATTCCGTTTCGCCGTACACTCTGACAGGCATGAAATTCAATCCGACTGGAGGTTGAATTAGTAAAATTAGTAGTAGAGCACGAGCAGAGTACTGGACAGCAAGAGACATACCTATGACAATGATCATGACAGTGATCCATATGGCAATGTTGATGCTTGCATCTGGATCCCAATATTGAATGACCAGGCCTGCGGCGGTGATCTCGTACGGAACGAGAATGCCAAGCGCATACCAATAGAGGTAGCCCATCGCAAAACCCATGCTGCGGGAAACATAGCGATAACCATAGTATGACATCGTTCCGCCATGGACAGGTAGATATGTTGCGACTTCGGTGATGGCAGTGACCACGCAGTAGACAGATAAAGTGATAACGATGTAGCAGGTCAGGATGAAAGCCGGTCCGCCTCGGGCAAGAGTCTGACCAGATCCAACAAAGAGACCGGTACCGATGGTGCCTCCCAGTGCAATCATCTGAGCATGTCGACTCTTGAGTCCCCTCTGAGTCTGCTGAAAGCGATCATCGAGAAGATCAGCCGCAACAATCGTGTCGATGTTGCCCTTCGAGCTTGCTCTGCGATCCCGCGAAATGCTGTATCTGTTCCCCGGATCCTTCGAAAAGGAGCCACCCTTCTCTGAGTCTTTGGTTGTAGCCATTTTGACGAAGAGACTTCGTTCTATCGGGGCAGGTGTACGAAGCTAGATATGGGGGTTGTTTGCGGTCAAGTTATGGCTCACATCTGAATATGGTTGATGTCCCTGCTCATTACCATGCTAGGAAGCGCTGAGTACGAAAGATGCGCCTGCAGCCATAATAGAAGAGAAAGAGGGGAGGGATAGTGAGCTGATTTATGGTAGCCTCGCAGCTACATCTCTACGACGTAGTGCACGCATGCAGGCTGTCCGCTTAGAGGTGGGAGTTGCTGCATTGAAGCTAACAGTGATAAGGTATGATCATCCCAGCTTTGTGCAGACCTGCTAGTCTCCATGCAGGCTGTATCGTATGTCTCGTCATCCTGCAGCCGGTACCCTGGCTTGCCCCACTAGAGCAGATGATATTCTTTATCGCAAATGTTTGCCTCTCCTCGGCAAGACAGGCTAGTACTGGATCGAAGGTAGCAGGCTGAGGTCAATCGTACCGAGCATGCTGTGAGAACATGGATCTGCAGAAGATCGCTTGCTCACCGATTGCGGAGAAGGAAATTCCAGCCAATGCGTATGGTTTCCATGAGGTTTTTACACAGTAAGATGTTGAGCGACGACTTGGCTGTATCACTTACCCATCGCGTCGTAGTTCTTCTCTTTTTATGGCCCCGAGTGACCAGAGTCGCGTGAGTTCAGTCCGAGGTTCGTGAGTTCCAGCCCCGTACGTAATATGTCTAACATCGGGGATCGAGGCCCGAGACCCATTGACAGAATTGGTGCCACTCTCGGTACATAATCTGCGTGCAGAAGTACGACACTAATTCTGTCAATAGTTAGACCTCGGCCCTGAGACAATGGCCTGGCCGGCACTGAATAACTTTCTGCCGCTCCGAGCCGAAAGTCATGTGACTTCTTCTAGAAGCCCTCTCAGTCCTTCTGGCCAAGGTCCGAGACTAACCGTTGGATGCTGAGCTGCTTCCAACTCAAATGCATTGCGGTTACAGAAGGCTTTGTCGAGTACTGCAAAACAGACACTCGAAGTTTCTCCGACATCAATGCATCGAGATAAACATTCGTTGAGGGTGTTCGTCCAGAGCCAGCCAGTCGGGGTCTGATTTGGGGCATTACAGACGACTGCTGTGGATCGCGCAGTCGACAGCCCATGGGTGTGCCGCCTTTCTACGTCTTCAGTGACCATAGGTGGTCTATGACCCGAGACCTGGAGGTGCACACGATATCGCCTTATCACTGGATGTGACGGATCAACGATGCACCCAAGAGCTCATTGCGACGGAGCACAGCGCTGACCAAATCCGCAGATCTTGTTCCTTAAGTTGTCCGCACACACCGCCAAATCTGACCATAGCAGCAGGGCTACCGTCCTACCCTTGCTTTTCGAAGAAGAACCTGATCTGAAGTCATGGCCAATGGAAGAGATGGCGTCTGCGTTCGAACAAACCACTTGTGCGGATCGTACACAACGCCCACACGCTTGATCAGATGTATGAATTATGTTATGCGCATTCACAGCAAGATTCATTACACCGGTCTAACAGCAATTGGAACAATGCACAGAACCGGCAGTGCATTCAGCTTATAACGCTACATTCGGGGTTGATTTTCATGATTAGCCAAATGTTTTCGCCTTTGGACCGGTCAAATATCATCGAAAAAAGCAAAAACAGACATAATGTGCTCCAGCCAGGCGGGTTGTGGCCCACAGTTTGAATAGAGGAAGAGTTGGTCTGTATATAGAGATGACTTGCGGAGTGAATAGTAAATCCTCCGCTTCAAAAGAGCGAGTTTGACAAGCCACAGGACACATGGAGTAAATAGACTACCTTTCATAATCTCCATTGTGGTTATTAGCCAATCTCGACTCCTATATTGTAACCTAGACCAGGCAGCCACATCCCTGAAAAGCCAGATCGAGTCCTTGCATCTCGAAAGTAAATCCCTCGGACCCCTTCGTCCTTTCACCTCTTCTCCTTGTAGCTGGAGGGCTGATAGGTAACTCAGTTAACCCACGACTTCAAGAACGACATACTCCGTAGGGTCATCTTGAGGCGCAGCACCCAAAAATATCGCCTTAAGTGTGGGGAGATCGACTTCGAGCCGAGGTCCTCTCAAGTACGTCATTGTCACCTTCTGCAGGTACAAAGCCCTTAATACACAGCATCAGTTAGGTTGAAGAGGAAGGCGATGGTGAAATCAGCGACAAAAGAGTCAGGAGAGGGGAAAGTGGGCGGTTGGATGAGGGAGAAAGTCTCTTAAGGATTCTCTTTACTCCCTGGTTGTTACGAACAAAGACACAGAAATCGCTTGACACGCTTTAACTGTGACTTTCCATTAAAAAGCCGCACAGGATGTACACTCTATGGTAAACAATACCCGACCTTGTCATGATTTTTGAACAAGAAGCTTAGCTTTGCCATGAGTGAAGCTGCTCCTCTGAGTGCGCTTTCGCCAGCTCCTTTACTGACCAAGCCAAGTAAATGTCATTCCAATTTCATAGAATGATTCTCAAACGGACTAACCATACTCACTCCCTAGCTCCTCCACGCCTTTCGTTAGTTCCAGTTATCTTATCGTTGCCCATCGTTGCCCATCGTTGCCCATCGTTGCCCATCGTCGTTGCCCGTTGCCCATCGTTGCCCATCGTTGCCCATCGTTGCCCATCGTTGCCCATCGTTGCCCATCGTTGCCCATCGTTGCCCATCGTTGCCCATCGTTGCCCATCGTTGCCCATCGTTGCCCATCGTTGCCCATCGTTGCCCATCGTTGCCCATCGTTGCCCATCGTTGCCCATCGTTGCCCATCGTTGCCCATCGTTGCCCATCGTTGCCCATCGTTGCCCATCGTTGCCCATCGTTGCCCATCGTTGCCCATCGTTGCCCATCGTTGCCCATCGTTGCCCATCGTTGCCCATCGTTGCCCATCGTTGCCCATCGTTGCCCATCGTTGCCCATCGTTGCCCATCGTTGCCCATCGTTGCCCATCGTTGCCCATCGTTGCCCATCGTTGCCCATCGTTGCCCATCGTTGCCCATCGTTGCCCATCGTTGCCCATCGTTGCCCATCGTTGCCCATCGTTGCCCATCGTTGCCCATCGTTGCCCATCGTTGCCCATCGTTGCCTCGTTGCCCATCGTTGCCCATCGTCAGCCCGCACTCTGAGGCGCCGCCCATGACATACCCATCCCCGCTTCAACTAGCTCACGTATGAGTAGCATGTCACTCCTACTCTTGCCTCTGCCGACGTTCCCTTTGTCGTTGTTATTTTTTCCCTTCTCGTTGTCTCCGTTCTCCTCATCCTCAGACGTCTTGTTCTCGTTAGTCCCGTGCACTGAGCTTGCCCTGGCAGGCAATGGAGAAGATAGAGGATGTAGAGCGATGCCACTTCCAGTTGAGCCTAGTTCGGCAACAGGACTTGAAGGTGAGACTGTCGAGCTGGCTGTGTGATCTGGCTTCACCGACCTAGAAGATGACGTATAGGTCCTTGCTGGCTCTCCTTGATTTGGGTGCAGAAGTCCTAGCCTGGGTTCTGGAGGATGCGTACTGCCGAGTTGCGAGGAGTCAAATTCTGAAGACGAAATGAGCTGGTCCAAAGGAGGAATGATGGATTCTCTGCCGTTGGTAGAGGTAGTGGAGAAGGCTGAGGATGCTGTTGCGGGAATCGACGGAAGAGAGAGAATGTGGTCATCTTCTGAAGCGCTGGAGGATGCATCGTTTGAGGACTCGTTTTGGTGGGCTGCTTGTGAGTTTGGCCTGAGATCTGGCCTCCTCCTTCGAACACGCTGTCCCAGATCTGATCTTAGATGCTCGACCCAGCTCGACGGTCCTGTTGCTGATGACTGCAAAGGGCGAGAAGCAGCAGCTGACAAAGATGGGAGGTCATGCTGCTTCCGTGCTCGCCTCAGACGTTGACCAGTTTGTTTGAGCCTCTGCATGCTAGTGCGTCTCTTCAATGGTGAGCCTGTATCAATGGTCAACGATCCTCGGCTCATCTCCATAGCTCTTCTACTTCCTCTCCCTCTTCTTGGCGTCTCATCCTGTGTCCCATCTTCGGATGAGGAGGATACATTTCCTGGCTTCGACCTAAGAGGGAATACCTTGCCATGATCAGCAGGTGGCTCGACAGTGATCTCGACGCTACTCTCGAGCAGCCATTCTGTGCCGTCAAGTTCCCTCTCATCATGGTCATGGTTATCACATCTGCGCTGGTGGACAGTTGATTCAGATATTAGACCAAGTTCGAGAAGTACACAATCATCGCAAATTGGTTCTAGAAACGTCTTCTGTATGATTTGACGGATTGAGCATATTCGCACGAGATGTAAACGGTGGTCGTAGGCAGCGGCTGTGTCGTCATCAGGCCCGGAGCTATCCTGCTGAGAGGGAGGAATTGCGACAGGTTCATTTGCTTTAGTGACAACATCATTTTCCAAGACTGATGGTGTCGAAGATAAAGATAGGCGAGAGGCCGAAGCTTCCTTTTCAAAGGGCTTGCATGATATTTGGGGTGACTGAAGGATACGGTCATAACAAGGTATCGGGTCCAGGTAATGACAACCACATTCGTGATAGGTCCAAATCTCAGTGATGCACATCTCCTTAGCCAATGTATAGAACCGAAGTAAAAAATGAAAGAGCGGAAGCCTGATCGCAAGATGAGTGAAGCCCGTGGTGCATGGTATTGATGTTCCCCAAGTTTTGGGAGTATATTCTGGAAGTGTTTGTTGACTTGCAGTCTCACAAAACAAATAGATGCAGCGTGAATTTGAAGGTGAACACTGCCAGAGCGGTGTTACACGTATAAACTTGGTAGAAACCTTACTTACGATCCTTGCTGCCGGCACGGTCCCGCTTTGTGACACGAAGACACGGCTTGGACAGCTGCATGAAGGCCGTTGAACGATCCTGAGGATCGGCTGTCGCTCCGACAAGCGCCCAAATTGACCTCACTGCCCATGATGACTTTTGTGAAATTCAAAGTCATACAAGATGCTCACAAAGCTGTTTGCTTTGTTCAATTATGACACATCATTTCGGAGCTCGGTCCGTAGGTCTTTGTTCTTGCAGCTACCACGTGGAGTATAATTGGAATTCAGCTGATCAAAATAGCACAACAAAGAACTCCATGACTTGTCCTCGTGGTTGACAGGGTCGATGAATCGCCTGAATAATACCATTTTTTGGAGTTCACGACTTGTGGCTGACAGTCACTGTAGACCAGCTCTTGCGTTTGTTGCCGATCGATTCATCCGACATATTCACATTTCCATTCCCACCTGCTAACATCTTCATCGTCGGTCGAGGGACAGTTCAGTACCCTTCCACAGATCCTTTGCCCAAAGCTCCGAGGTTACCACAATGTGCACAACGAGTCAATACCTCTATAATTGTTTTCATCCAGCGTCATATCGCTTCCGCACCAGCATCTGCCGTGATCCAGCCTCTTCCACATGTCGCATTCGTGATGAAAATTCCTTTCTCCCTTACACTTGCACCAGATGCGCTGCCAAGACACGCACTCGGAAGGGAAAACTTGAAGCAGACGAACGAAGCAGATATTCGACTGACATGAAAATTATGGTTGCCAAAAAGACCTGGCACATACCAAGCCGATGCTTCGTTGATGCTGGCTTTCAGAATCTAGATCCATTCGGAACGGGTATTGAAACAGAAACCCCTAGTCGAGCTGGACCTCAGTCACCTCTAACATCAACCCCTGGAGGGCCGTTGACCATGGATGAGACAGGCATCAGCGATAGAGCCCTAGGACACCCACGAGACCTAAGTCCGTGCTGCCTTAAGTCCAGTGGGATAGGTGCCTACCAGGCAACGCGTCTTGAGGGCGTCGAAGATAGGCAGAGGGGCCGGATCGTGGATAGCTTCTGTGGCAGTCGGTTTTAAAGACGCACACATCCATCAATGTCTCTTACAAGCATGCCAATATATGCTAGCCGTTGCAGCATGTCCACTGGCACTAATATGATCCATGTTTTCGCATTTATGCCTTGTCATTTCACTTTAGCAATGTCTCTCTACCGATGTAGCTATATGGTTGGTTGATAGAATTGACTTACAGTCCTAACCAGTTCTGATGTGTAATGTCACTCGTGCTGAACGTTGCATTCGTGGTGAAAAGGGAGTTTGCTTACTTTCTGACGGAGTGAAATGATGCGATGGTTCACCCACCATTTGTAGGACCTTCTTTGGCAATCTGAATCAACTTGAAATGATCAACATTTAGGTCCCTGCCATCCTGCGCCATTTTTGTTTTCGATGACTCGCTCATCTCTGCTTTGTCTTCTACTTTGGATTTCTTCTCCATCTCGTCATCTCCACAGCCACAATCATAGAAGCCTTCAATGTTTGCACAATCGAGCACGGGCTTGCCCTTGGATTTGTTTACTTCGTTATGTACGTGGCACGCCCAAGCAGCAGCAGCAGACCGAGAAGAGGTCTGTGGTGGATACTTCTTCAGGATCTTCTGAAAGTGGGAAGCGCATTCTCCACAAGGATATAGGCGTGCAAAGAGGTAAATGTAGCTTTTCAGAGCGGCACTCTCTTCTTCAGATGGCTGATCGGGGAAGCGTGCCATCGTTGTGTGAAACAGCTTCCATGCAGCCCGGCCAAGCTCTGCTTTGAGTGTTTCGTTGCCCAGATGTCCCATAATAGCATCTCCCTTCTGCATGTTTGGTGAGATATGGGCAAGGTCGTCAACAGAGGTGGAAAGAGGGTTGCTGTTCAGTCGTGGCACTGAAGGGCGGCCCATGTTGCGGTACAGGACGATGATTGTGAGAACTACCCCAAAAGCGAGTGCTAGCAGTCGTGGCGGAGGGCGTGCCATCTTGTTTAGCTGGCTGACCTTGGATGGATGCAGTTGGTTTCTTTGCCTTTTAGGTGGACGACCCGAATCTGTCCATAGTATTTTTGGGCCTGTGAGTGCTCGGCAATATCACATAAGCATGACTCCAACCAGGGCACTAAGTAGGACGCTTCAAGATCGGGGATGAGGAATATCCGATGCTTACTAAGACATCGCCGGATGTTCGGGCTCCTTCTTGTCAAAAGGGCGGTAACCTACCTCTCTCCGACATCTTCTATCTCCATAATTTGAGGCTCTTCTCCGTTCTAAATCAATCACGAAAAGGAGAAAGTTCTAAGAACTAGCCACCACCTGCGACTTGACGCCCATTTATTGGCACTTTGGTATACGTTACACAAACCATCCCTCAGGCCACTCTCCCATCGCTTCCCCATAAAGTGATCTCCCCGCGGAAAGGGGAGACGTGCAGATTTCAGAATGGCACCGTCCTTTCCCCCGCTCCCAACCAACACGATTGGTATGTGTCATTGAGCAGCTCTCAACTCGCCTGATTGTTCATTTCAGATTGGTCCGATGTCGGATTCAAGGTTCGCGAGGTCAACGGCCATGTTGAGTCAACCTTCTCCCACAGTCAAGGGGGGAAATGGTCATCGCCTAAATTTGTTGTCTCTCCGCACCTCCATATTCATGGAATGGCTCCTGGATTGAATTACGGGGTCCAAGCTTTTGAGGGCATGAAGGCATTCCGAACTCCCAACGATCAGATCGCACTATTTCGTCCTGATCAGAATGCAAAGCGTATACAACATTCGGCTTCATACATATCCGCACCAGCAATTCCCGAGGAGCATTTCCTCCGATGTGTCTCTCTGGCGGTAGCCGCGAATGCCGAATATGTCCCACCCTATGAGACTGGTGCAGCAATGTACGTGAGACCTCTACTGTTCGGGTCCTCTGCTCAACTGGGACTAAATCCGTGCGGCGAGTACACTTTTGTCGTCTTTGTGATGCCTACAGGAGTTTATCATGGCCTTCACGCAGTTGATGCGCTGGTCATGGAGGATTTCGACCGTGCAGCACCGGATGGCACGGGAAGCGCAAAACTTGGTGGCAATTACGGTCCTGTGCTGAAATGGTCTGAAAAGGCCAGGAACGAGGGCTTCGGCATCACACTCCATTTAGACAGCAAGACCCGATCAGAGATTGACGAGTTCTCAACAAGCGGCTTCATAGGGATCAAGCAGGAAGATGATCAAGTCACCCTAGTGGTGCCAGATAGCAAGAACGTCATCAAGTCCGTGACCAGCGAATCTGTGTTCCAGATCGCTCGCGATATATGTGGCTTCAAGGTTGAGAAGCGGCAGATACGTTACGATGAACTGAAGGATTTTGAGGAAGTCATGGCAGCTGGGACAGCAGCAAGTCTGGTTCCAGTGAAGAGTATCACGATGAGATCTAAAGGCGATAAATTCGAGTATGCTGGGAAAGACAATGGCGAGCCTGGACCAATTTGCTTGAAGCTGCTGAAGATTCTCAAAGACATCCAGCAGGGCAAGGTTAAGGACCAATTCGGCTGGATCATGCAGGTCGAAGCTCCACCTGATAGTTTTGTAGCCGGGTCAGCAGGTTTAAACGGAGCAACTCATGAGGGGGGAGTGGATGAACTGCCTTGAACAGGAACAGTATATCAAGTACATGCCAACTGATACATTCAACTTTGGTCCAAATAGATCAGTGTCAAAATCAGTACCAATGCCACCCATTTGCTCGTGGCGTGGAAAGGAGGATTTTCTTGTTTTGATTTTGATTTTCACGTCGTCAAGACCGCGGAGGAAGCTGAATATTCCCTTGACCTCTGCTGAGTGGAAGCCGGCACACATGTAGAGAAGGGCAGGAGGATTGGCCCTCCTTTGGTACCGCCGTTGGTACTACTGGACTTATACCTCAGATGATATTGGGCCCTTTTAGTAGTCTAGAGCACTGTAACTCTGTAGCTTGGGGAGGTTGCTTAGATATGTTGCGTGAAAGTGGAAACCTTTTGCCGTTTACCCAACCCTTTAGGCCTTCGGCGTCTGCGAAGCTTTTTCATCCGAACCTTTTAGATTTCTAGCTGCTAGCACCACCCGCAGCATTGACCTTGTTGCTGAAAGGAAGATTTGGCTGTACGTAGTACATGTACGGAGTACAGCTAAATATTCCAAACAGGGGTAACTAAGCCCGCTCGGGTAAGCGCCACCCGATTTAGTTACACCGCACCCCACGGACATGTCTGCGGAGTCAGAGCTCCGAGCTCCCACAGCACATATTAGTGAGTAGTGAAGAAAGGATCTTAAGTTGAGATATTCTTCTCAATCCTCGTTGCTCTCTGTTCTTATACATACATTCTTTGAACAGAATTTTGTAATAGAAATCTATCAATGACCCGTAAAATTTGTTTTCAAGGATAGATTATGTATCTTCATTTTGAAAAGTTTTCATGCTGTCCATGCATCAAATATTTTCAGCTCACTTCATTCCAAAGTTGCATAGGACGAAATACAACACGTTCATCACAAGCCATCTCAGGATGTTCAAACTGTCTACAAGAAGAGACACACCGCCAAAAGTTCACGTATGTTGCGGACCGAGAGTTCACACCAGCATAGGCTCCTGTGGAGGCTGCAGCTGCTGACTGGGAACGAAGGAGGCAAGCAATTCCAGGCTGCCCAACCGAGAGTCATGCTTCTAGAGTGCAGGGAGATGGCTGAACAATTGTGTAACTGTTACATGTTCATCTCCAGGCTAAGCCAAATACCCAGATATCTGATCTTCAATTGAAGAATGCACCATTTCTCATAGCCTGCCGTGAAACTAAGCGCAACGCCGGCTGGAATGTGGGCATCTCGGAAACTAAATCGTGGTTCGTTCTGAAAGATATCCTCTTGAAGGCGACATGTCCCCAACAATTTTGTGGCCTTACTTATTGCTTGTTCAAAAACGGACACCTGGGTGACATGCTTTTGCTCATATCCGCATGTGTCATCACGACTTATTGCTCCGGTTGCTCTTTGATAGCAATACCAGATGGACCTTCACTGCCCGTGGCTACTTGAAGTTGTTCATCCACTCCAGCACGATTAGTCATGACAGGTTTAGTTGCGTCATCTCTCGGGATAGCGGTTGCGCTGCCAGCATCGGTTTTGTCTTCTTGGCTTGTTGAGTGCCTATCTGTGCTTGGTTCATTATCTTGTCGCTCAGCTGGTCTGGATTCTGGCTCAGTCAGATTCCATCCGTTATCCCGTTTGGCGCAATCTGTCGGAACATCTCCATAGGATCGAACCATGTTTCGACTATCTGAAGACGAACTTGTTCATCAACTTGAGCGACTGTAACACCTTGGATGTCAATGAGTCCCCCATGGCCTTTCACAGCCACCTTTTTGCCCGAACTACACATATGTAAGTAGTCTTATCGTACTGAGGGTGCTGACAAGATCACTTGTTAAACCTAACATAATCGTTCTTCATCATCCCCCAATGGCGCCACCTGAAGGCTACCTTGGGAGGGCCACTGTAAACTTCAAGAACTTCACATGCAAAGGTTGGCATCATACGCTTAAACGTCTTGTGACTTGTTGCGAAGTCCGAGGCTTCAGGGCCATAGAATTCGTTCGGAGCAATGATGGCATTATATGTCTCCACCTTGAGCATATGATCTGCTAACTAAGGAGGCCCTCCATTGATGGCGAAGGCGTAATTGGCATGGTCAACGGTGCGCCAATCTGCAAGGTTGGACTTGAAGGATACTTCCACTCCCAGTTCTTGACAAGATTCTCGACGAGCGAGGGCAGACTTCCAACTTCATGGTTCATCTGTTTGGCTTGGGATATTTGAGCAAAGGATGAGGCTCAGATCACCAAGTACTCACTTTGCTCCCAAACCGTGCGCGTTTTAGAATAGTCTGGCGCTCTGCCGTATCTCCAAGAGGCAGAAGAGTCACTAAGGACCGCATCGGGGCTCAAGAGGTAGTCAGGCGTGGACGGCTCAGCGATTGGCGCCGGCTGTTGCACATCTGCCGCTGCCATTCTGATGGAAGACTCGGTATGAAAAGCTTATCTGAGTTGACTTGGAGGTGAAGGTGTGAATAAGAATAAAAAAGTATAAGAAGTATGTAGGGAGGAGAATGGAACGATAGAGATTAAGTACTACATGCAGAGTGTTCCGGAAGTCATGTTTAACTAGTGACGGCCCTCCCAAGGTCTAGCCAGCAGAGCTGTACCGGGAGATGCAGAGTTTCTGGTTATGATTTCCTTTTCCAGCCCGCCTTTGAGGCCCAGATCCAAGGCAACGGCTAGGTCTAGACTAGCAGAAACGACCTTGAAGCCATGCTTAATGTACCGACTCTAAAACGTATCACAAAGGATTCTCGAAACCGAAAAGAATGTGGTGGGGTGGATAGATTCATGTACGAAACATCTCACTGTTTTGGACTAAAATGACCAACGGTGCGAGCCCCGCTGTCGCAATTTGAAAAATCGCCCAACCCATTCTTGCAGAGAATAAGCTAACGCACCATTTCGTCTCTGATAGCCCAGGTTATTCAACGCTAAATCGAACCCTGCTTTCGATTGTCTGGGCAACGAGCCGCTCGAAATTGCGTGCATACGTTATTGGTCACCTGAGTTCTGAAACTCTTAAGCTTCAGAGACCAGGAAACTAAATCCTTCGTGTTAGAACTGGTGTGTACAGAGTAAAAATGTGTTGATTCTATCTGTCCCCTGATAGCCATTTGGCTGCCGGGGGATACCAAGAACTAGAATAAGCTAGACTTTTTTGAGCCTAGTGCCAGTAACGCATAATTTTAGCAGTGTAGGCTGTTAGTGTGCCTGACAAGAATTCTCGAGATACTCTTAAATCACTGGCTAGTAAGGGATAAAAGAGCGTTGACGCCGTGCCGAAACCAATATACCAAGCATTGTGTTTATTTATTCATATGTTTCTCAGCGAATATTTCGTCCTATGGAGCTGATAACTACCTGTCTTGGCATAAACCCTTAGTATCGTGGATGGCCCTCCCCTCACCCCAATACGTGCCCACTACAGTTCCCAGCCCTTTGAATGGAGCAGTGTGCTCTCCAGCAAACACGATCAGCCGCCCCAATCCCATACCTTCTCGCATAACTTTGTTGTCACGAGCGCCATCTTCCAAGCCGACTGGATAACTACGAAATGAGCCGTTGGGCAGCAAACTTGTCATGGTGCCAGTCAGAGGAGAAGAACGCTTTAGGTATGTAGTCCGAGGATAATTTGTTGAAGATTTGGAAGGTATGAGTAGTAGGGCTTGAGGTATGTCTTGAGAGCTTGGTAGTATTCCAGGGAGTCTTGTGCCATGTCTCGGACGAGGCCGGCAATGTATCTACCCCATTCTCCAAACACATAGAACATTAGATTTGGACGTGCCATTTCATTCTGCTTCAGCCCCAAGATATGTATGCGAACATCTTTTACTAGCCCTGGCTCCTCCTCCTTCTGTTGCCAGATCACATTTATGTATCTGTGTATCCGTTCTTCACACTCAATGTACGCTTCATTTTCAATTCTCAGCCGCTGTGCTGACCTTCGTTAGGTGAATAATGTCACCATCTGTGCTGGCCCAGCTAATATCCAACTAGTGCCGTGTAAACTACGGCTAACCCGCAACAGGGAATTCCCGGGTGCTGTTCGTCACTGCAGCTTGATAACAATATCAGTGACAGCTAGCTTCCTTTCAGGCCAGATGGCCTATGACAACTTCTCCTAATTCTTTTCTCAAAGGCCAGGAAGGTATTAATTCACAGGCCATGATTTCTCAAATGCACTTTCAAATGTTGGAGCTTACTATGAACCAATCTCCACACAAGGAACAAGTCTATCGATGTGTTTCTCGCATTAGCCATCGTTCACTACATCACGACCTGATTTCTGCAGTACGTTCAAGATGGAATGCCCAAGGCCCTGCCAATACTAGTGGTCCACATGTATTTATGCGAGTGATGGAATGACGGATGTGATCTGGTCGTTTCTACAACTTAAGTCTTAATCAAAGGGATCACTTGGGCTAATTCCTACGTGTTCAGGAGCGCACAGTTTCACAACATATGTAAAGGGTGCCCGGCTGGCCAATGTTTGTGATGGGATCAACCCCTTGCTACTTTGTTAAAAGTGGAGAATAAGCTGGACCTCTGGCACTTCCATTATCTCAGCTACACACACCCCGTCTGTCAATATCTCTACCTGCCCTAATAAACAGCCCTTTCGGTTCTGCACATACGCACGTTCCCGTGGAGAATTGTTCAACCCATACATAACGGCTGATTACTTCTACATCCGGTACACATGAAAGAGAAGCACCATTCACTCTTGTCATAGAATCGGAAGCAATGCCTTCTTCAAGCAGACAGCAACATATATCAAGCTCATCATCACAGAGTGATGGAGTGGTCTCTATCGTTTCTACACACAACTCACAGCCTACGAGCCTACTCGAAGCGCACATTCCGCCAACCAATGCAACGGAGATCGCTCGCTTGTGGTTATTAGTATTCGACGTGGTAGGTAGTCTTGAGTATCAAGATCTTTCGACAGGACCATCGTCTTCAGACTCCAAAGTTCTGGGTAAGACTTAACCTATCCTAAAGGCGAACGAGGAACGCTGAGCATACAACAGGGCCATCTACCATGAATGTACTTCAAAGAACTCTTGAGACTGGCAGGTTCAACGAGCCACCAACACGCCTTGGATCAAGGACGAAGCATATGTCTAGCGTACATGGCCGAAATGCAGACACAGTCAGTACGAAAGCCAACGAAAAACACGTGAAGATGCCCTGCAAGATTGAAGATAACGAGATACCACTTACATCAGCTCATGATTACTTCTGCTTGAAGCTCGGAAACCTGCCAGCAGTAGGGGTGGACACATCACAGGGGGGTAGTAGTTTTGGAAGAGATGCCACGTTCTTTCAAGCCGTGCCAGGCGAGTATACACTCCTCGATGTGTGTCACAGCTCACGCACTGCCTTCACTCAACTAACTATGGATCGGTTCTTCGACCTTGATTCTCTCTGCCGTGCCGTTCCGACACAGGGTCAAGCAAAAGTTGTAAAGATGAATGCATCTGCTACCAATATCGAGCATGCTGAATGGCGAGAGCCCCCTAACTGGAGATATCAAAGCTCAAAAGCACCTTCACCTTTTGCCTGCACCTTTTGGTTGTCCATATCAGCTTTTGCCAAAGACCTCCGCAAATGCTTAGATCATTGCACCTGCGTATTAGGTGGCGCAATGGTTCTACCCTATCTCACAGTTGACTTTCGAGAAGAACATGAGCGGATTGATGAAACAAGACAACGCGCCGCCTGCATAGCCGTTCACACTCTCTTCAATCGGTGCCACCTGTACATGAGGACTCACAAAGGGATTCCAGCAGCTGCCGGGAAACGAGACTACCCATTCTGCTCTCATTTCATGATAATATTCGACAATGCCAGGTACGAGGGTTGGGAGATCGCCGCAGACACAGACGGTGAATGGACCGACGAGACCTGTATGATGAAACGTATCTTCCTTTCAACGCTGTATACAGCGGAAAGTGTCGAAGACCTGTATACGTGGATTTGTGAGATACACTGTTGGGGTGCGACAAAGTATGGGCCGGCCTGTATGGAAGAGATTAGAACATTTTTGATGCCATCAAGCCTGAAGCAAACTTCAAAGGGTGAACTGATTGCGGAAGAGAATCAGCAAGGAACTAAACTGGAAAACGAGCTCTCGACCCTGACCTGACCATCCAGCGAGCGAGCGCGAGGAAGGGCGCAACAACGATATGACGAAGGCTTTCTTGTTCGGACTCCTCGGCTGGGGCCAGGGGGAGATCGTGCTATCTTTGTAACAGCTGAGGTTTCTCTTCATGCTTTCGGCTTCTATGGAGCTACTTTATCATGTGCAACGAAGTAAATCATCAAAGAGTCTTTGGTAAAAGCAAAAGTTTTCTCCGCCTTACTAGCTCGATAAAACAGGTCCCAAACGTTAGATTAGAGCGATAATGCCGGTTCACTCACACCCGATTCTTGACCTCTCCATATTCCATTTCCACCACGAGACCTAAGCACATGTGACTACAATCTGGGTGATGAATAAGTAGCTCTGAATTATGACTGGAGTTGCCTCAGACCCTCAGATGGGCTTAGTGGGCATAGCCACCACGTCATGTCCAAATGGGCTGGTCGCTAACTACGCAACTGTTGTCTCACATGCCTCTAAACTCGGACGATATAACAAACTACTTACCTCTTATCTGAATCAAACTCTGTGAATGTTACTCTTTACTATAATAGATTTGATCATCAGTTATAGAACTCATTCATTTCGTCTGTATATTTGCCCCTCATGTACACCGAACTCCCCCTTCTGAGCTCGAGTTGTGAGGGTTGTCGTGCTAAAGCCCATCTTGATCGCAATCCAGTCCCACGACTTTTTTTGGATACGATACTCTTTGATCTCAGATATTTCATCTTCTGTGAATCGAATAAGCGATCCATGTGCTGCAGGCTTTTCTTTTCCTTCTGTACCAAACAGCCCCTCGGCTGCTTTCTTCAACAGCCTCCACTTGCTGATATTTACTTCGCGAGATATCCACTTCCAGGACTTGCCCTCGGCACAATATTTCTTAATTTGGGAGATTTGCTCATCACTAATGGGTTTCTGTGCTGAGAATGATACTGGCACTTCACCAAAAATACCTTCTGCTGTTGCTCTGCGAAGTCTTTTTATAGAAGTGCCTGTCTCTTTCGCGATCCATTCCCAAGTTTGTTCTTCGGCACGATATTGCTTAATTTGGGAGATTTGTTCATCACTAAAGGGGTCCGGTGCTGAGAGCGATTTACCCCCCTCAGCGAAAAGACCCATGTCTTTTGCTTCGCGAAGTCTGCGTAGAGAAGTGCCCATCTTCTCTCCGATCCACTTCCAACTCTTATTGTCGGCTCGGTACTCCCTGATTTGAGTGATTTCGTCATTACTGAAAGTGAAAGACGGTAGTGGACGGTGCTTGGCAGCTTCTGGTGCTTGGGCACTCTGATGTCTCTGTGACAAGAACAAAATGTCAGTCCATCTCGAAACAATCGGAGTTGTGATTAAAGGTTCAACCTGAAGGGCCTTTTCAGCTCTGAAAGTACTGACCTGAGCAGCATCGCTAGACGCAGCTTGAGCTTTGGGGACATGCTTAGACCCAGAAACTTTTTCTTCCATGCCAAGTGTCTGTGAAGATGGGCTCTCAGAAGCTCTATAAGAAGCATCTTTTCTGTGAGCACCTTGGGAAGAAGCTCTTACAACTGAAGCTCCTTTGGTAGAACCATCTTTACGAGAAGCACCCCTAGTTGAAGCAGGCCTTCGTGAAGTCATTTCTCTAGACTCACCCACAATAGGGACACCTCTTGTAGAAGCACTTGCAGGAGAAACACTCTCAGTAGAGATAATCTTAGTAGAAACGCCTCTATCAGAAGCACCAACGGAGCCTGGCACATCGCTAATCGCTGGAAAATCCCAAGCAGCTTGGCTTGCAAAAGGATTCTGAGCGAAAGTTTGGGGTCTAGAATCATTGCTTCTTCTGTGAGCATCCCAAGGAGCCTCATCGTCAACCACTCCATCCGGAATACCAAAAGCATCACTAATAGGATCAGGGCAGTCATCAGCAGCCCACTCGTTGTATAACTGGGCTAACGAGTTAGTCTCAGCAGTAGTCGATCGAGGATTCGCGACGGCGTTGGGTTGAGGACCAGCTATACCGCCAAGATTAAAACCAGTTGCCACGCCAGCTTGAAAACTAGTTGCTGCGGTAGGAGCAAAGCCAGTTGCTTCACCGGGTTGGACGTTAGGTCTTGCTCTTATCGTAGAAGTGTATATCCCGGCTAAGGAAGAAATTGGCTCTTGAGCTATGTTAGGAGATGCCGAGAAGTGCACTCGATCTCTTGATGCTAATCTTTGCAAATTCGTTGATTCCGAAATACCTCTTAATGCGAGTTGGAACGTAGATGTTGAGGGCGGTGGCGGTGGAGGTCTTGCTGTCGCAAATTCTAGGCACTGTGGGGCTTTATTTGCTTCAAGTTGGCTCCCTTCTATAGCTCCAGCAGGCCAACCTGCTTGTCTATCTACAACTGCTGAGTTCATTTGTGTCACTCTAGTAGATTGATCCGGTGGCTGAGTGATAACTGCAGGTCCACTGGCACCTTTCGGCGCCAAAGATGAGAGATCCGGTTCACGGTGTCTTTTTTGAGATTCTCGAGGCTGTCGTCCTACAGCCATATGAGGCGGTTCTCTAGATTTTGAATGATGACGTGTTGGCCCCTGATTGCTTGCTTGAAATTTATCATTGTTATCAGTCATTATCACTGTGGTGTATACTAACTTGAACCACACATTTCTGAGCGTGCAATAGATTAAGTGTGAATAGTATAAGGTTATGCTCACGACATGAAATGAGGCTAATTATTCGAAGAGTGCTTGTAATTGGGAGTACAGTAGTCCAAACGGTACCAGGCAAAATGAAAACAGTGAAAGTCACACCACTGGTTCGGTGATGGAAGCTAGTCTAATCTGTAACATTGAAACGTCGGATAAGTATCTGAACACTTGCTCATTAACAAAATGGAAGTTTAGTACAAAACTCGATAGTCATGTTTTCTGAATTTCCGAGAAGGTGCTGTCAGCGGAAGACGGAGTTCTCCGACCACCGCAACTGTTCGCCACGCGCTATCACTCAGAAACGCATACACTCACAAATGCTGCAGTTAGCATTGCAACGCTGATTTATGATCTCCTTCTAGGTGATTCTATAGCTTGCCTCTTCTATGCGTATATATAGCGGTCATCCTACTCCTCAGGAGTTGGGATAGCAACTCAATCAATTCAATTGAACCCTCTCTCTCTTGATACTGCTTAGTATCTCCGTACGCTATTTGCTGCATACTTCTAACAGGTTATGAGCCCGGCCTGCTGACTTCTACTCTATTAAGCGAAAGCTGTAATAGAGATCTATATCCATCAGAGCACCACAGGCCTCACATTACCACTTTCGGCCTAGCCCCAAATTCTGCTGTACCGTACAGCCAAATTCGATCACTATGGAATCCTCCTACGACTCTCCTTCTCATGAGAAATCTCGTATCCCTCTCCTCAAGGGCACAGAGGACTATTTCTCATGGTCAAGAGTCATGAAAGCACGCCTGGATAGGCTAAAAGCGTGGAGCCCTATTGTATCACATCCTCCTGTCAACCGTGGCCGCACAAAGGCTCCTATAACGCTTGCTCGCTTCCGAGAGCAGTTTGATCAGTTGAATCTTGACTTGGATTCCACTGGATGGAATCAGCGCCAATGGGATGCCGCTTATGAGGACTATAAGGAAGAAATTAGGGAGTTTAACGAGTGGCAAGATAAGGAGAAAATGGCCCTTTCTGAGATCATAGAACGGCTATCTCCTACTGTTCTGACTCGAATGAACAGATACTCCACTCCAAAGACCCTATGGGAAGCCCTCGAGCAGGCGTACGCAGCTCCTCTCATCACAGAGCAACTCCGAGCGCTCCAGAACCTTCTGAGCCTCCGACGCTCGCAGTATCCTGATATTCGTCAGTTTACTACAGCTCACAAAACTGCGTACGACCATTTGACGTACAATCTACGCTTCTCCTGGGATCCAACAACTCTCCCAACTCTTCTTCTTCTCTGGAGCGAAAATAACGACTCCAACTCCTCCTCCAACTGGTCCAAGTTCCTCGAGAAATACAAGAATGGAACGCAACTTGCTGACCCTGAGGAACTCTATACCACCCTCCACGGGCTTGGAGAAGATCCTAAGAAGGATACCAAGAAGCCCGCACCATCAGCGAACGTTATAACAGGCAAGAGGAAGCGAAATGACGCCTCTCAAGGCGGACGCTCTAAGCAACAGAGAACGTCGACCTGCTCCGAATGTCACAAAACGCACGCTCTCAAGGAGGGCCAATTCTGCTGGTACAAGAACCCAGAGAAGGCGCCAGAGGGATGGCAGAAGAAGCACCCTCACCTCCTTAACAAATGACAATTAGCGGACGGAATGAAGAACCCGATAGAGGACCTCCAAGCAGAGGGAGCTGACAAATCAGAGGGACGCTCTTGTAACTGTTACGCCCTGTTATTTATGGCAGTGAGCATTGCTATACGAATTGAACGCCAAATGCTGTTTCTGAGCTGTTACAGTAATGCGCTTCTATAGCTATTAGTATGAGCAAATACTCCTCTTGATAGGAGTAACTCAATCAAGTGAATTGGCACCTCCGTACGCTGTTTGCTACCATCCTCTAACACATGTAAGTTGCGCTACGGCTCTGCTCGCTGCGACCATAGATGATGATGCTGACCTGTGCGACGGCCCAATATGGCGCAGGCTTTTTGAACTTTGGGAGACCCCGGAGCCCACAATCATTATGGATTTATCGCCATGGAAACATCGTAGACGCCAGCATCATCGATGAGGCCCAACGTATGAGTGGTTTGAGGCAGGTTCTTGAGGCTCTTAGTCACCTCCATGCAAAGGGGGTAGTTCACCGCGATCTCAACCCCAGAAATTGCTTGGTCGTGTTCAAGCTGACTTCGAGGTCGCCAACACCGGTTTTGGCTTAGCTAACTTAATGTCGTTATCAACAAACGCTTGGCTGCGAACATTCTGTGGCTCACTTAAATATGCGGCACCGGAGGTGTTTCCGGGCACAGCAAGGGGTCACGGGCCCCTTGCCAATGTTTTTTCCATGGGCGTCATCGGCATCGAATGGATATACGGCATTCCAGAGCTCCTGGATGCTCCCTGAGCCGGAAGAGGAGGGACGGGAGATTTCACTGAACTTGTGGCTCGAATGGACTAAGACTTTAGGCTGTGGACTTGCTCCACAGGCTGGACGAGGAAGGCGAAGACGGAGGCGAGGCGGTCAACATGCTCTGTCACATGGTCCAGCTTAGGGCCAGCAGACGATGGCCTGCGAAGAAATGCCTGATGTGGAGACTTGATACTGGCTTGTTCGAGAGGAGGACGATGGACGTGCTCATCGTCTGTGCAAACAACCGACCAGGATGACTTAGAGACCGGGACGATGGCGCCCACTCCGTCATCACGGTTGGTTAAGGCATCGGTGACGCGGTCAGCATCGACCCTGAGGCCACTATTATGCTAGGAAACCTCTGGGATGGTGGGGAATCATCGAGTTTGCGTTGAAAGTCCTTCCCAGTCTTTTACAACAGTGTTATCTCCGTACAATTCGGCCTCATAGACTCTTAAACAAGACCCCCTACGAAATCCTGTACAACAGGAAGCCTCACCTCGCTCATCTGAGAGCTATTGGCTCCAGAACAACGGTATTAATCCCTAAAGAGGTTAGAGAGCACAAGCTACAAAGCGTTACTATTATAGAGCGGTTAGTAGGCTATGAAGAAACAAATTAATACCGAATCTGGGACCCTCAGACAGATAGAATTATCTAGGCAAGAGATGTCAAAATCAACAAATCTGATACTAGATACGTTAAGGAACCGTATAGGGCATCCGAACAGCCTGAGGGAACTCCTATAGCATCTACAAATGCTTAAACAACTCCTATAGCATCTAAAGAAGCCGAAATGGCTCAGGATGCATATAGAAACAAAGACGATGAAATAAACGCTAGTGGATTGAGCTCCGAAACTACGGTTTTGAGACCTGAACCTGACGAGGACCCTCAGCGTGCCTCTTATATGGATCAAAACCCTATATCTACAGATATCAATGACCTCATAGATAACTATGCTGGCGTTGAGGGCGAATCAAGGTCTTATAAAGTGAAGGATGCAGAGTTTCGACCTGTAAATCCAAGGATAGATCAAGCAGGGATCTCTGAGCCGATATATCGTCTAAGAAGGCATTTAAGACCTTCACAGAAGCTCCGTAAGAATCAAATACCTCTTGACGAAATCCCCTCTGCGCACGTTCTATCAGCGCTGACACTGGCCCTGTCAGACGCTCCTAGGTCGTACAAGGAAGCAAAACAACATGCTAACCACCAAGAATGGATGGCTGCATCAGATAAGGAGCTACAAGCTCTAAAAAGCAATGAAACGTGACAAGTTCTACCCAAAATTGAGGTACCTGCTAATCAGAAGATACTCCGTGGCAGATACGTTTACGTACGCAAGCGTGATGGACGATACAAAGCCAGATGGGTGGTCAAAGGCTTTGAACAAGTTGAAGGAATTGACTACCAAGAGACCTTCGCCGCTGTGGCACGAGCAGAGTCATATCGAACGCTTATAGCACTTGCTGTGCTCAAGGGCTTCGGTATAGAAAGCCTTGACGTTGATACAGCATTTCTATATGGCAAAATAGACCACAAAATCTACGTTGAACTGCCTCCGAATGCTACACTTCCAAGAGGGTTAAAAGGGCCCTTCTGCGGCCTCCTCAAGAAGAGCCTTTATGGCCTCAAGCAAGCTCCGCGAATTTGGGCCAGAACGCTTTATTCGACGCTTAAGGAGTTCAGATTCAAGCGAATAGTTTGTGAGCATTCTATCTTCTACAGAGATGACCTGATTATAGCTATTTATGTAGACGATCTATTGATAATAGGTCGAACTTCAGAAGCTATAGCTGAATTCAAGCGCAAGTTTAGAGAACGCTAGAAGATCAAGGATATAGGCCCTGCAGAAGACTATCTCGGCATTCAGATTATACAGAATAGCGACTCCATTACCCTATCCCAGAAGAGCTATTTTGAGAAGGTTCTACGCCGTTTCGGCATGGATAACGCAAATCTGCGATCTACGCCTATGCAGGATAGCACTCGAATCCCTATGGATGCAAATGACGATGATCTGCTGCCTCCAAGTGGCAAGCTTGAGTATCAATCGATCGTTGGAAGTCTCACGTACGGAATGCAGGGCACTCGACCTGATCTAGCGTATCCAGTATCGCTATTAAGTCGATTTCTGGCCAGGCCAAAGGCTATCCATATGGGTATAGCCAAGGGGGTTCTTCGATATATCTGCGGAACGCTCAGCTATGGCCTTAAATTCTCCAGAACAGGGAATTCAGAGCCTACACGCGACAAGAGACACTCTTTCCTATTTTCTCCCACAGGGTTTTCTAGGTTTTATTGAGGCTCTTGCTGACGAAACAAAACTCATCCCTCCCTAGCTAGCGAATTTTAGGCCGCTATGACCCGCATGTGTCAGCGGAAGACGGAGTTCTCCGACCACCGCAACTGTTCGCCACGCGCTATCACTCAGAAACGCATACACTCAC